TTGTTTTTCGCAATCATGGACAACTCCTCCTCCATTGCAGCCATCCAATGCTGATTCGTCTTTGCTGCATCAAAATCTGCAGGTTCACAAACAGCTATGTTGCATCTTGGATAAATCTCAGATAATGGTCTAGTGCCTCTTATAGGAACATCATCTACATCTTCATTATGCCAGTTTTCATCTCTGTTTTCTTTTGTGTCTGAAATAGGAAGTTTGAACCTCAACTCTGTCATGGTCTGATTTCCTTTTTCTGAATCATTCCAGCTCCACTCTTCATCTTCTATGAAATACACATCTCTACTGATAATTAGCTTCCCAGTTTTAGGCTGATAAACTTTGTAGGCCTTAGAGGAAGAACTGTAGCCCACGAAGATGCCTGGTTCAGCCATCTTGTCAAGTTTATCACGCTTGACTTGAGGAATATGTGAAAAACACAGGCAACCGAACACTCTAAGAAACTTGAGTGAAGGTTTATAGCCATACCATGCCTCAAATGGTGTTTTTTCCTTTACTGCCTTTGTGGGTAGCCTGTTTTGAAGAAATACGGTTGTACTTGCTGCCTCTGCCCAGAACCTTTTTGGCAAATTCTTCTCATGCAACATACATCTTGACATCTCCATGATGAACCTATTTCTCCTCTCACTGACTCAATTTTGTTGAGGAGTGTATGGGGCTGTTAGTTGATGCTCAATGCCTGCTTCTTCACAAAACTTGTTGAATTTTGTTGAAGTGTACTCCTTTCCATTGTCAGACCTCAAGATCTGAATTTTGCAGTCACTTTCATTCTCAACTCTTGCCTTGAACTTCCAAAAAACTTGAGCTACTTCTGATTTAAACTTTAGGAAAAAAATCCAGCACATTCTGGTGAAGTCGTCAATAAAGGCAATGTAATAAAGACTACCTTTAAGGGAAGGTGTTCTTTGAGGACCTGAGACATCCGTGTGAATCAATTGTAGCTTCCTCATAGCTCTTCCTGTCATCTTTGAGAAAGGTTTCCTGTTCTGTTTCCCAAACTGACACGCTTTACAACTTGAAATTTGATCATCAAGTTCTGGAAGGTCATTTGCCATCATCTTGAACTTCATTTGCAGCAGCCCTTGGTGATGGTAGTGCCCTAGCCTTTTATGCCACACTTCTGTAATGTTTTCTTTGATTGGGAAAGCAGTTTGCTCCTCCTCCAATGGATTTAAAGCAAAACTTTTCCCTTTCATTTTCACTTTGAAAATATCCTGATTTGCTGCATCTTTAATCAGGCAATATTTGTTTTCAAAAACAACCTTAAAGCCTCTTTCAATTAGTTGACCAACACTTAACAAGTTTTGCTGAATTTCAGGGACAAAGAGAACATCATGAATTAGTTTTGTACCTGAACAACTTGTTATAGCAACTTTTCCCTTTCCTTTAACTGAAATATATTCACCATTACCAATTCTGACTTTGGTGATGTTGGTGGGCCTCAATTCTTTGAAAAGTTCTTTGTCATGCGTCATGTGATTTGTGCAGCCACTGTCAATTAGCCAACTTTCTTCAGATGCAACACCTGCAAAACAAGTAGCCACAAAGAGTTGATCCTCTTCCTCTTGGTCAGCAATCTTACACTACAAAAAAAACGCTTATTATCTACGGGTAAAATCCGTAGGTAATGACAAAAATCCGTAGGTAATGTCACTTTACCTACGGATTTCTTTCTGTAGAAAATCCGTAGGTAATTTGGTCGTAGGTAATTACCTACGGATTTATAATCCGTAGGTAATGCACTCACCTTAACAAAACAAAATATTTTTATTTATTACAACCCCCTCCCTTATTTTTTATTATTACCTAGAACCACCTCCCCTTTATATTATACTTTTATTATTTATTATATTTTCGAAACTTTGAATTATTATTAGATTAAAGGAATTATCATTGGCAGGATTCGAACCCAGTACCTCGAGTTGGAGGTCGATACTCCAACCACTAAGCTATTAGGATATTTTGAAAATAATTTACAAATAAATTATATTTATATTTATCCGTCTAAATATATAAATATAAAATATATAAATATAAAATATATAAATATAAAATATATATAAATATAAAAATATATATAAATATAAAAAATATATATAAATATAAATATAAAATATATAAATATAAAATATATATAAATATAAAATATATAAATATAAAATATATATAAATATAAAATATATATAAATATAAAATATATATAAATATAAAATATATAAATATAAAATATATAAATATAAAATATATAAATATAAAATATATAAATATAAAATATATTTATATTTTGATATATTTATATATTTATATATTTATACATTTATACATTTGTATTTTATATATTTATATTTATATATTTATGTATTTATATATTTATGTATTTATATATTTATGTATTTATATATTTATGTATTTATATATTTATATATTTATCTATTTATATATTTATGTATTCATATATTTATGTATTTATCTATTTATGTATTTATATATTTATGTATTTATGTATTTATGTATTTATATATTTATGTATTTATATATTTATATATTTATATATTTAAATATTTATATATTTAAATATTTATATATTTATATATTTAAATATTTATATATTTATATATTTAAATATTTAAATATTTAAATATTTATATATTTATATATTTAAATATTTATATATTTAAATATTTAAATATTTATATATTTATGTATTTATGTATTTATGTATTTATGTATTTATGTATTTATGTATTTATATATTTATATATAAATATATTTATATATTTGTATATTTATATATTTGTATATTTATATATTTGTATATTTATATATTTGTATATTTATATATTTATATATTTATATATTTATATATTTTATATTTATATATTTTATATTTATATATTTATATATTTATATATTTTATATTTATATATTTTATATTTATATATTTATATATTTATATATTTATATATTTATATATTTATATATTTACACGAATTAATATAAGTATAATTTAGTTGTAAATTATTATTAGAATATCCTAATAGTTTAGTGGTTGAAGTATCGGTTCTCAACTTTAAGGTACTGGGTTCGATTCTTGCTAGGGACAATTCTTTTAGTTTAATATAATTTACCTACGGATAGTAATTCCGTAGGTAATTACTTACGGAATTACCCACGGATGATATTACCTACGGATAATATTCGTAGTAGGTAATGGATAATTACTCACGGATAGAATTCCGTAGGTAATATCCGTAGGTAATGTACATTTTACCTACGGATAGTAATTACGTAGGTAATGGATAATTACCTACGGATAGAATTCCGTAGGTAATATCCGTAGGTAATGTACAATTTACCTACGGATTTTCATCCGTGGGTAATATCCGTAGGTAATGTAAAATTTACCCACGGATTTTTATCCGTGGGTAATATCCGTAGGTAATGTAAAATTTACCTACGGATTTGTATCCGTAGGTAATATTCCGTAGGTAATAAGGTTTTTTTTTGTAGTGTTAGCCTCTTCACCTTGTAGTTGATTCTTGCTCCTGCAAATTACAGCTTCATGCCCCAATTGGTTACATTTGGTGCACTTGGCGTCTGGTCTTCTCCAGCATTTGAAAGGAGGATGACCCTTTTTATTGCAATGTTGACATGGAGGGTAGGATCCCTTCTTGACTCCTGATTTGTTGTTGGCTGAAGATTCTCCAGTAGAATTTTGATTCTTCTTGAAAAACTTCTTCTTGTTGTTGTTCCTTGCATTCTCATGATGCTTGGCTGGCAAGGCTCCTTCAATAGCACCTTCTTGTCTCATGGCTCTTCTTTGCTCCTGTGCTTGCAAAGCATTGAGAACCTCTGCAAGAGTGATTTGACTCAGATCCTTGGTATTTTCCAAGGCTGAAATAGATGCCTCAAATTTTTCAGGCACTGTTACAAGAATTTTCTGAACAATTCTTGAGTCCTCGAACGCAGAACCAAGTAATCTGATTCGGTTTGCAATGTCCAATAACCTATCAGAATACTCTTTAATTGATTTTGTTTCCTTCATCTTCTGCAACTCAAATTCTCGAATCAAGTTTAGCACACGCATTCCTTTGATTCTTTCATCTCCCTCGTACTCTGACTTGAGATAATTCCATATCTCATATGCTGATTTCAGTGTCATAATCCTAGTGAAGATAGTAGATGAGACTGCAGCGAACAAACATGCCTTTGCCTTGGATTTCCTTGTCTTCTTCTCCTTCTGCAATTTGATCTGCGCCATGGTAGGATTGTTTGGGAGAGCAGGAATTTCATAATCCTCTTCCACTACTTCCCAAATATCCAAAGCTTCCATATATGCCTCCATACGAACTGCCCAAACCTGGTAGTTGTCTCCATCAAACACCGGTGGAGAAATTGAAGAGTAACTAGAACTTGCTTCTACGTCCATGACACAGCAACCTCACACACTTACTCACAGATCCCTTAAGAAGAAAGCTCTGATACCAATTGTTGGTTTTTAAGGCAAAGAACTGAATAATTCATTTTTCAATATCAGAAACATTGCAATATTTAAAGCCTAAAAATAACTGACCACTAACAACACGATCCTAAACTTTCTCCATGATTACAAAACATGGAAAACTACTTCCTAAAAAACAAGAACAAACTTTGACATAATCAACTTAAAAAAATACGTGGACATGTTTCAGTCCTGAAGCATTCTTCCGAACATCAAACTGCAACAGAGACAATTTTAGAAACTGCTTAAGAACAAATATTTATACGAATCACGAATACAAACATATGCATCAGAATGAACACTATATATAGCATAATGTATAACACACATGAAGACATATTGCAAATTTATTCCATGCAAAGGAAGGATCTACATAACCATCCTTGTCGTCAAACATCACACCATATTATACAGATGAACAACACCCGAGGGCCAAGCCCATTATTTCTTATTTGTTACATATTTTTCTGCATAACTTTTGGAGCTATGCCTTAAGATTGGCATCAATCTCTCTACTTAGGGTGTGCAGGTATTCCAAGTAGCCATATGGAGGGTCAATTCCCTCACCAATTCTCTCATATTCAATGCTCCATTTGGTAATAGCAGACCCACGATCATCAATGGCTTCTAATGTGAGCTTAAACACCTTATACTTATGACCGATATCTCCGCCAAAGAGCTTGTAGGTGATTCTTTTGTTCGCTTCATCAACTGATTCTATACTCTCCTGACATGTTGTAACCTTACCATCTATCATTTCACAATCAATCAAGTAGATCAATAACAACCAAATAAAAAACACTGATTTTTATTTTTCTTTTTTTAATCTTACCATCGTATCGTCGTATCGTCCTATATAGTGCTTTAGTCAGTATATCAAGAATCAATAACCACAAAAACTTGTATCTAGAAAACCAAAAGTAACTATGTTCATTTAAATTATGTGTATGGAAATCAACTAAAATTATTGACTTACACATACTAGAGGGTCAAAAGTAAAATTAACTCAATTTTTTAATTTGGTTATATGAGTAGTTGATAGTTAGATGTTTAATTACCTATGGTATAAGTCCAGTTTTTTATGGACTCCTTGTGGTGCCAGTCCTGACCATGATGCAGCTTGGTTCCATGAACTCTATCTGTAAGGTTTTGAACTTGATGGAGTTGCTTTGCAAAGATGTTGAACCACTTTGCAGCAGTTGCATGAACCCCAATTTCAATGCTGATTTTACCAGCAAGTGACATGATGATGATCAACAAAGGAGCAAGAAATATATGGAAGAAAGAAGAATGAGAGATGGTGAAGAATCCTGAGATCATATCCCATTTATATTGGAACATAACGTAACTCTTCATACGACTAACGAATTAATTAAACTTTGGGGTCCATTTCTATACCCTTAAAAAAGACAAATACCTAATCACTTTTCTTACAAAATTCACAATCAATCTAATACCATATATCTAATTATTTTGTTTAGTATAGACCTTCTACAACACGTGATAATACTATATAAAAAATGTGACTATATTATAACCTAAGGTTTCCCGTCCAAAAGTCTATTTTAAAAAATTATATTTTAAATTCGTTTTCTAAAAACTGAGTGAAAAATACTTTTTAAATTAGTTATATAAAAAAATTAAAAAAAAATCACTTTTTTAATATTTTTTAGTTTAATTTTATACAGAACAAGTTTATAACATGAGTTTATATATATATATATATATATATATATATATATATATATATATATATATATATATATATATTATATTTATCTTCTAAGAATATGATCAGAATAGTCCTGATTTGGGATTATAAGGTTCATTGCGAGTTTCATTGTTGGGATTGAAATCAGAATGAAAAAGTGAAAAGTTGGGTAGATTGATATGGAGTTTGAAACATGATGAACATCTCTAGATATAATAAAGGTTTGAGTTTGAGGGTCTTAAAATTTCTATCCTGGTAGTCTAGTGGAAAGCTCATGAAGATATATATATCTCAAAAAATTGAGATCTTGATTAGAAGGGTCTCTTTTAAATTGCAAATGAAATTCTTTATTGATGAATTGTATAAATATGGACATATGATTTAGTCTAGCATTACAAATTACAGAAGAAACATGATTACAATCATTATTAATAACGTTCTGTAAAATACTAGCGTAAGTACAAATAGCAGAAAATTTTCAAATGCACTGTGCATACTCAATCCTTTAACCAAATCATCCTCAAAAGTTTGTGAACCTAAAATAAGAAATTATCAGCACTGAAATGAACATATATATATATATATATATATATATATATATATATATATATATATATTGGGATTTAATAATAAAACACTCATAGAAACCAGGAATGTATAAAACATTTTTCAACAATAATAATTTCCAATAGAATGAACTTATATGACAAATTTATCATGGAGGAAAACTGTTTTATGAAGTTTTTGAGAAATTCAGTTCCTTAAGGAGCATAATGTGACTTGTTCCATCCGAATCAACAACAAAAACTCGTTATTATTCAAAGAAGCATTTGGAAACAATTGTACCTGAAAAACATTCTTCTTAGTGTCTGTAGAAGATTGGAACAAAAATATTTCATCAACTGTCAAGTATTGATCTTGAGTAAAGGTCATAGAACATACTGTGATTCAACGACAGTAGGAGCAACTAGATTTTGAGTAGACCATAGAAATGGTACCTAAATTCTTCATTTTCTTATGTTTTATAAATAACTAAGACCTTAGAAATGGGAGCTAAAGGATTAAGAAGAAAAATTAGACATACTTCTTTTCCCAAAAATCAAAGAAGACATTGACTCCACCATAAGTATACGTGCAAGAAGGGAAAGAGTCGTTCAATTCTTCCCATATAGCTTTCAATTTTAAAATGGAAAAAGATATTTTGACACCACTATTCACACAAACAACCCTGTAAACAACTGCATTTTATATTATAATAATAATTTTAACTATTTTTTATTTTTATTTAAACTCTTTCATAATGTGTTATTTTTTGGGTTGTTTTTTCTTTCAGTTGTCAAAAGATCATCACCCTTTTAAAATATTGGTTCATAGTGGATGGATTTATAAAACAACAAGTTCACTGCAAAGTCGATAGTATGTTTAACTGTAGCATGTTTAAATTTCATGCAAACTGTAGTATGTTTAACATACAATTAAAGAAAAAAAATCTAACAATTAATTCAAAAAATGATATATAAGTTTATTGAAAATTATTAATAAAATAAAATATAAAATTTGATTATAATAACAATAATAATAATAATATTTTTTTCTAATTTCTTTTTGGGTAAATTATGATTTTTATATCATAACTATAATAAATATTTCTATTTATTATTTTTTTATGGTGTGATTTTACTCCTAAATAAACAATAGATACATACCCTAACACTCTCATCACTCACATGCCTCATAGAAAATGAAAAAAAAAAAAAAAACTCACTTTCCAAACATGAAAAAATTAATTTATCACTTATTGTTTTTTGTGGTGGGTTTTGAGAATACACATAAAGAAGAGATAAGCAAGAAAATGATGGTACTGTTTTATTAAAATCTGTAAGGAATTCCCTATCAACCAAGATGGTTGAAAAGGGTACAGCAAAATCACAGAGTCAGAGAAAAGTAAGAGAATTCTCAGAAAGAGAGATACATGTTCATTCCCCACCCCCTACCTCCTTCTCCTCTCCTTATATAAAAGATTCCTCACACAAATTCTCTCAACATGCTACTGCGGTTACGTGTCCTCGTCCCACGTCTCACTTCCTGAATTTCCGGGTTGTTAGCAACTACCCAATCATTTCCCATATTGTGCCCCTCTCTTTGTATATTTGCTGCATCATTATTTTTCATGTAAGCTTGTCCAGCTGGCACCTTCATTACATTGCCTTCCCCTTTTATAACAACCTTGTCCTCAAGGTTGAGATGAGGGAAACTATTTTTAATAAACTCGACATCCTCCCAAGAAGTATCAGCATTGTTACAATTATCCCATTGGACCAAAACCTGAGAACACAACTTAGAACCGTGTAAAATTTTTCTAGCTTGGAGGATAGCCACAGGCTGCAAAATGGGACCCAACTCCGAAGTTGTAAGTGGCAGTGGCATATATGGCTCAGTGGTAATTCCCGTGAATGGTTTCAGCTGAGAAATGTGAAAAACTGGGTGAATGCGGGCAGTCTCGGGAAGCTCCAACTTATAAGCAACCACACCCACCTTAGCAACCACCTTAAATGGTCCAAAGTAGCGCATAGACAGTTTTTGGTGCTTACGTAAAACCACAGAATGTTGTCGATACGGCTGTAATTTGACCAAGACCTGATCGCCAATCTGAAATTGCAAGTCAGATCGTTTTTTGTCAGCTTGATGCTTCATCCGCTGTTGTGCTTTAGTCAAGTTATATTTCAACTGGACTAAGAGGTGGTCTCTCTCAGTGAGTTGATCTTGGATAGCACTCGGGTCAGTTGGGCTGCGCTGATAACGAGTTAAAGCAGGTGGCTCTCTGCCATACAAAGCTTTGAATGGGGTCATACCCAGACTGGTATGAAAAGATGTGTTATACCAATACTCTGCCCACGTCAAATGTTTGGACCACGACTTGGGATTTTCAAAAGTGAAACAGCGCAAGAACATCTCTAAACATTTATTCAAGGCTTCTGCTTGACCATCCGTTTGCGGATGGTAAGCGGAACTCATAGTAAGTGTTGTGCCCTGCAACTTAAATAAGTGTTGCCAAAAAGAACTAGTGAAAACTTTGTCACAATCCGACACGATGGACTTTGGAATGCCATGTAACTTGACAATATGCAACATGAATGCTTCAGCCACGACTTTGCTACTGTAGTCTGATTTTAATGGCACAAAATGGCTGTATTTGGAAAGTCTATCGATCACCACCATAATAACTGTGAACCCACATGAATTTGGCAACCCAGTGATGAAATCCATGGCAATATCCTCCCATACTTGTTGGGGTATGGGTAGCGGTTGTAACAAACCTGCAGGGAGTGAGTGACTCGCTTTGGCCTGTTGACATATAATGCATTGTTGCACAAACTTAGTAACGTCTGCTCGCATTGTAGGCCAATAAAATTGAGAGGAAAGACGTGCTAACGTTCTGGCAATACCAGCATGGCCCCCAATCGGTGAACTATGATATTCCTGAAACACCTTTTCAATCAAAAGACTTGGTGCGGGTAACACTAGGCGATCCTTCCAATAAAGCAACCCATCTTGCACTTTGTAACGTGCATCAATATGACCATTTGCCAAACATAATTGAATGAGTTCATGAAATTTAGAATCAGCCTCAAGAGCATGCTTTAACTCGAGTAAGAATTGTGACTTAGGCTCGGACCAAGCCATAAAAAAAACACGTGACAATGCATCGGCAGCAATGTTCTCTTTCCCTGGTTTATATTCAATTGTGAAGTCATAGCCCAAAAATTTATGCAGCCAAGCTTGTTGCTCAGGAGTTTGTAAGGACTGGTCTAGCAAACTTTTTAAACTTTGGTGATCTGTTCGGATGACAAACTTATGCCCCAACAAATAATGACGAAATTTTGCCAACGCTTGGGTGATAGCAAACAATTCTCTAATATAGGCGGACTGTTTCTGCATTCTAGGTGCCATCTTTTTGGAGAAAAAAGCAATTGGGTGACCAAGTTGACTCAACACTGCACCAATTCCCGTTCCGGAAGCATCAGTTTCAAGAGTAAAAGGTTGAGTAAAATTAGGAAGGGCCAAGACGGGGGCTGTAGTAATGGCTTGTTTTAGTAATTGAAATGCGTCATCGGCCGCAGTAGTCCAAGCAAAAGCTTCCTTTTTCAGCAAATCAGTAAGGGAAGCCGCAATAGTAGCATAAGACTGGATGAAACGTCTATAATATCCGGTGAGTCCCAAGAAACCCCGTAGTTGTTTGACATTCTTCGGATGAGGCCATTCCAACACTGCTTGGACCTTACCTTTGTCCATTGTGACCCCAGAACCCGACACCACATGGCCCAAATAATCTACTGCCAGTAGGCCAAAAGAACACTTAGAAAGTCGAGCATACAATACATGTTGTTGTAAAGTCTGCAAAACTGATTCCAAATGGGCCAAATGCGCCACCCAAGAGGAGCTATACACGAGAATATCATCAAAGAACACAAGCACATATTTGCGCAAAACATGTTGAAAAATGTGATTCATCAAGCTTTGAAAAGTGGCTGGTGCATTAGTGAGACCGAATGGCATGACTAACCATTCGTAATGGCCATGATGCGTTCGAAATGCCGTTTTATGACGATCAGCGGGTTGGACCAAAATC